GAACCAAAAAAGAGAGGAGCCTACAACAAAGATAAACTGGAATCCTGTGCTCCAGGAACTAAGAGAAACAAAACAAGGAAAAGAGAAACGTAAGACACACAGGACACAATTCTAGCCTGTTTTCCTCCAGGCCTTTTGGTAACTAAGTATGTGTCTGCACCTAATTTACCCCATTTCACTGACTGCACCTGAACACGTAAACCAGCAGCCCAACTGCTAAGGTGAAGTGAGGCTGCTTTGTACCAAGTGACTGATACTCTCAGGACCTAAAACTGGCCATGCACAAGAAAGATCACTTAAGCAAACATGGTACAAAATCAGCACAGAACCATCCACTCTGAATGAGTTATCTATACCTCATTCAGCCCTGGATGGTGTTTGGGTATCTAAAAGACAATCGTTATAATTTATGCTAGAGCCCAGGCCCGAACTGGAATTCGGAGAGTGTAGATCATAACCTTCTACAGCTCTCCAAAGCTGCATTCATGTTTGGACATAGCCAAAGATCTGCATGACACTGTTGGAGAGGAGAATCCGGCTCCTTCTCTCTCTCCCTCTTTCTCATATATACATAATGAACAGCAGCAGCTGCTCCAAAGGTTGTTAGTTTTCCCTCTACAGTTGATTAAAGATACTTTGGAGCTTCTAGTATTTCCAATGCCAAGCACCCCAGGAATATGCAGAGTGGACTCTATTATGCAAGCTTTAGGTGCAAGACATGGGAAGTGATAGTGTCTCTACTCAGCACAAGTTAGGTCTCATCTAGAATACTGTCTGGAGTTTTGGGATCCACATTTTAAAAAGGACATGGAGAACTTAGAGAAGGTCTAGAGGCAGGCAACAAAAATGATAAAGGGCTTAGAAGGCAAGTCATACAAAGAGAGGCTGAAGAAGATAGGCATATTCAGCTTGCAGAAAAGATACTTTAAGAGGGGACCTGATAGCAGTCTTCAATTACTTGAAAGGTTGCCATGTAACAGGAAAAACACTTTCTCTCTCTTGCTGTAGAGAGTAGGACACAGATCAAGACTTGAAGTTGCACTGAAGGAGGTTTAGACTGGATATCAGGAATAAACTTCTTCACCATTAGAACAGTGGGGTAGTGGAACAGACTACCTAGAGGAACTGTGGACTCTCTATCACTGGAGGTGTTCAAGAAGAGTCTGGACACCCATTAGTCAGGATGATCCAGGCATAGGTATGACTGTGTCCTACTATGGTTATATCCCATGCTTCTGGGATTTGCTGGCTGCTGCATGGGGCTGTGAGGGAATATTTTTTTCTCCTGCTGCTATATGTCAGGTTTTTTTTAAGCTTTCCATTGGGTGCTTGCTGCAGCCAAGGCTGGGGATATTGACTGGGGTTTGCCAGTGCTCCTGCTGGGATTTAAGCCAAGAGGTTCTTGGCTAGAGGGTTTTGCCCTTCTCCTCAGGGTCAGACCAACTACTAAATTGGGGTCAGAAAGGAATTTTACCCCCATGGTCAGATTGTGGAAATTTCTGGACTGTGGAAATGTTTGCCTTCCTCTATAGCAGGGGGTGTAGCCCTCTTCCTGGGATCTCTCAAGTGTATAACACATTTGTGACAGCAGGATGTTGGCTGCCATAGTCCCCCTGCTTTATGTGTGACAGGTTAGGGTGTTATGCCTTGTGTTGTGTCAGAGTTGACTGTGTAGTTTTGCTGAGAAGTAAGACAATGGATTTGTATAGGATGTTTAGGATAGGGATAATCCTGCCTGAGGGCAAGGGGTTGGACTGGATGACCTCTCAAGGTCCTTCCAGCCCTGCTTCTCTATGATTTGAAGTGCAATATTCAGCCATGTGAGTACTCTGAAACGTGACTGACAAGAGCTGTAAACAACGGTGCCTTTGCTAGTCACCTGTTTTCCACCTTTGTCCTGTAAAATGCTTAGAGGACCCCCCGCTCCCCTCCTTGCCAGGAAGCCAACTGGGTGCAGTGAGTTTTCTGCAGAGGGAAAAGAATTCCTCCGAGGGTGCACAGCCTCAGAAGCATTCCCAAAAGCTGCAACTCAGGCACCACTGTGACATTTCACTGTATACTATGTCCTCTGATAAAGACTACAGCAAATACTGAGAAATGTATGTAAAGCATGCCTTCACCTGGGGTGACCTTGCAAATCCATGAAGCCAGTTCTGAGCAGGGAGATGAAATCAAGGTCCCATTTACAGGTTCAATCTGAATACACAAATCCTGAGTCCCTTGGAAACCCCTGAAAACCAAAGCAATGAAATGTATCTTTATATTAGTCTGGATTTCCTGACCTCAAAGTCACAGCAACATTCCTCCCTGATGTCCTCCCACAGTAACACTGTCATCCTTAGGTAAAGGAAAGGTGAAGCTCATGAGAAAGAGAATGTATTTTACCAGTGAGGCGCTTCAGTGTCTCTACCAGGCATGATCCAGGTTTTGGACTGGAGATTATGGCTCAGCTTGAGTAACCAGCTTTTCTTAGAGATGACTTTAGCAATCCACCTCTGCAAATAATAAATAAAAGTGGTACTGTAGCAAATATGATGCCTACAATGTACACCTGGATAACAAGGAGACCCCCAAATAACTAAATAGATACAGTCTCGTTTTGGCAGCAGGATGGCACATTCAAGTCATGAGCCAAGTTCTTTTCATTCTTAACGCTAGTTAAGAAGAAAGAGGCCATTTTAATACGTTAAGAGCCCAAATCTGCACCCGTGGAATTTTGATTTAAAATGGTAACAGGTGCAGGAGGTTCAAGCACGTACAGATCAACTGCCTGACCATAATGAAGTACTAAACCTAGAATCTTTTTTAAAAGGATGCTGTTAGACAGTTTAGGGCCAACATTTAACTTGTATTACAGTGCACTTAGTAGATGGGAGTGACCTTCAGGTCCTGGTTCTATCAAATGATCTATCTAAACATCCTCACTCTGAGTTTTCTGTATTTTTCATTCATAAAAGAATTTCCCCCAGATAACTGCATAGCACAGTTGTTTTTAAAACTTCATTCTTTTTCTAAGATCTCCCTGCCTTGATTTTCTAATTAAAGACAGAAAAAATGCATCTTTCAGTTGTGGAAAAATTCAAGACAAATTGACATATACTCCTTCACACACAGAGAAAAAAAACCCATCACACACCATTTTTGTAGGGCATACATACCTAGAAATTTTCAGTTTCTATTCAGTCCCTACTCAGACAAACTCCCATTGATATTAAAGGGAAGCTTTGACTGAGTCGGCACCTCATGCTTTAGCTTAGTGATAGTATTTATTAGTAATATTTAAAGCTGCTGACAGACGTGAAAAAAGCACTTTACTAGACGAAGCAGCGCGTTAGTTCAACCCAGCTCTGCAGTGTCGATATAGATCGCGTGCTTCAGCGGGGCTTTGTGCTTTTATCTAAAGACGATTCAATCAACTGTTAATTAAAAGCACCAAAAAAGCCCTGCTGAAGCACCCAATCTATACAGACACTGGGTGAGTCAAGTCCAACTAATGTGATGCTTCTTCTGGGCATATGCTAGGCTTGGTGCAGGGGCACACCGAGTTTGAAGTAAAGTGTTGTTTTCTTGGGTTTTTTTAAAAGTCTGTAAGCAGCCTAACCGTTAGGCTAAAAACCCATATTCAGTGCTGTGCAAATATAGAGTAAGAAAAAAACTGTCCGAGGCTCAGAGAGTTTACAATCTAAGTACAGGTTTGTTTAGCTGGCTGGCAAACCCTATGCTGACAAATCCTGATCTCAACGAATCATAAACCATGTCCTCACGAAGAGAAAGAGCTCATAAATAAAAAGCAAGACTAACAAAAGTGAGGAGTAGGCTCTTTAGGTACATAAAAGAAAAATTAAGCAGTGTGTTTCAGAGAGGAAAAAGAGATCCAATATGCTGGGATAAAATGATCATTTCAAGGTTTTAAAAAATAAATATTAAAGAATACATTGTACACAACCTCTTTATTAACAGTTTTATATTTGAGTGACTGACCTGTTCTTCTGCATCTTGTAATTTTAACAGCTGGGACCCTTCGTATTGACTGCACAAAAATTCTGCTCCACTCTTATTCAGTGCCCCAAAAGCAGGAATATAATAACAATTTCCATTCCAGTATTTCCAAAAGGGGAAACACATCTTGCTTGTAAGGTCTGTTTGAAATAGAACACAAATTAAAAGGCACAAAACTCATTATACACTATCTCGTACCCATACCACCAGTCTTCAGCTTCCTAACTTTATACAGAAATTGATCCTTATGCAAAGAAATCATTAGACACTGCTTAAATCCACTCCTCTTTAGAACAGATTTTATTATAAACACGTTTCAATTCTATTAACATACTTACATGCTTCCCTGAATAAGCAGCTTTCTTCAACCAGGGTCACACCAGGCCCCTCCCCTCCCCCATGCGAAGCTTATTCAAGGAGAATCTAAATATCATTATTCCTTTCTATCCAACAATTGATCAGAAATAACCACCTGGTATGAGACCTAGTCAGGAAAAGACCAAGCTAAAAGGTTGAGTTTTATAATGTATTCAGAATGCTGGTCAATGGCTCATAAAATGGTCAGTCCAAAATAACAAACCACAGCAGAAAAGGAAGCCCAACTCCCTATGCTGTCTTACTCACCATATTCACAAAGCTCTAATTTCTTCATTTCTTGACAAGTCACTGCACCATCACACAACCCTGTGATTCTATTGCAGGTTGTATGGCTGAGACAGCGTGGGCACTTCTGTTGGCAATACATACCATACCGTCCTTCACTGCAAGCTGAAACATTTTTTTAAATCTTTACATTTAGCTTTCAATTTTGGCAAATCCTCAGTGTTTAGACATATGGAGAAGGGGAGAATGAATGAATAAATGAATGAATGAATGGACGGGTTTGCACAGGTATTTCTGTCTACAAGCACTGCACTGTATCATATATGTATACCCTAAACTTCTCTGGGTCTCAGGTTTCCACCTGTAAAATGGGGAAAATATTACCCCCCAAAGTCCCAGGGGTACTAAATAAATACATTAGGGGTGAAAGCTGCTCAGCTGCTTTGGTAGCCACGGTCATACAAATACTGGAGATAGCTAGAAGGCAAACTGAGATTTACTTTCACAATCTGCCATTTAGTTGACTTGACACAACTTAGGGCTCAAACATGCCCTTAAGGGGCAGTGCAGCATATGCTTGCAATAAAAAAACCCTGGATTATAGCCTAAACCAGGGGTTGTCAACTGGGCGGGGGTACTTGGAAAGGCCATAGGGGGTATGCATGGGCGGGTGTGGATGGAGCGCTGCCCCCACCACTTTGCACCACCGCCTCCCAGGAGCGGGATGGGAAGCTCACACGCCCCCACCACCCATCACCTTGTGCTGCTGCTGCTCTGCATGCAGCCAGCACCAACCCCTCCACCCCTGCCACACACACACCCACCCAGCCACGCACCACCCCCCGCCCCTGCTCCCCATCCGGCTGCCGGGGGTATACTGATTAAAAAAGGTTGAAAACCACTGTCCTATACTGTTAGCAAAACTTCTGATTTTTATTTTTTTCCTCTCTAAAAAATAAAGACTGCATTGACTTTGGACACAACAGAAACAACCCACAGAAGCATATTCAAAGGCAAGGATCCTCAAAGGCAACTGGTTGTTTCTTTTCTTATTATTTTGTGTTGGCTCTTACTGCTCAGACCTGATGATGAATGCCTGGCCATCTGGCTATCACATCACACTAATTGTACCAAAAATGCTCAAAAGCATTCATGAGCAACCTTACAAGGCAAACCACTGGGCTAAGGGGCAAGGTAAAAATACAACTCCTACAAGCAAACAGATTACAGATACTTGAGGAACAGAGAAAAATTAAAACAAAAAGTAATCAGCCCTTTGATTTATATTTCTATGTGCATTTTTACAGCATGTATAGCATTAAAGAACTACATAGTTACCACTTTTCAGGTACACAGCAACATTTCTTTTTCTGCTGAAGATCAGTTCTTTACCACTGACAGGTATGTAACTCTCCCCCCAGTAAGTTACTCCAGAGCAATCAGCTGCTATGATACAGGCTGACAATGCAACCTCCAAGAATGTGTATGTTAGTCCTCCTACCGGCTGCAGGAGCAGCATTTTGGGGTATCTCCAAAAAATGCCGTAACCTGAAAGATTTAAAGAAAAAAGAAAAGAAAAGCCACCTTCATATTCTGTGCATTTGATAACCCCAGTCCCTTACTGGACCCTCTGTTGGGTGAAAAGTGACTGGCATGCATTAGTAAAACAGCAGTACTCAGATTTTTTTTTGTGCATGGAAAAACATAGCTAAATCTCAGACAGTGTGCTGACTAGGCACCGATAAATCCCATCATCTCGCACCTGATTTTATTCATGGGTTGGGAGAAGAAAATTTTTCTTGCTATTTTAATTACTATTTGGTTTCTCAACTTTGAATGAACTAAAATAAACTCAGCTGAAAACATTCTCCTCTCCCTGCAGAGGCAGCGATTGATGTCAAAGGGAGGTTAGCATTTCCAAGCACAAGTTCCAAGAGCCTGGCAAAGGACTTCCCGAGTTCAGTGATCTGGTTATCTTTAAATCTTTGACATCAAATATGCTCTGTTTGAATATTAGCTTTCATTTAAGTAATTTTTAGAGATTATAGTAAACATACATAGTGATATGGGTTGTTATGACAACAGTCAATTTATACACATTCTCTGGGTAGCAGAGCCTGCTAGCATGCAAATCCACTCTATTGATAACCTGTAGATCAAATCCAGTTAAATTTGTTTCTAAAGCATAAGTGAAGCCACTAGAGGGCCACGCAATCTCCCTATTACACAAATACACACATGATAATATGCACTTGAGGTGTCAGTAATTTAGGCTTTGGTAGCATTGAGCCATGTGATTGGCACACACTGGATCAGGCATGCCATTCTACTGAGCAAAGGACCATGTTAACACATAGATGATAGAAATAGTAGACACATGACAGAAAGGCCAAACGAAGTACTACACAAACCAAAAAATTAAAATCACTGCCTACGAAGTGCTGGGTGTTTTTCAAGCAATCCTGTTCTGTGACTGCATGAAGCCATTTCACCCTCTCATTCTCACCAGGTTCCCCTTTCCTTAAAAATCAGAAAATTCTCTGCAACCCGCCCACCCCAAATGAATGGTTTTGCAGGTTTCTAAAGAAACAATTTTTCCTTAAAAATGAACATAAACTGAGTATCTGAATTGTTCTCATCATGGCATGTGTTCCAGCATTTCAAAAACCTCCTGAACAACAGAGGCTGGCAGTTGTTTCCCTGAGCAACCCAAAGCACAACACTTGGAAACTCTGCTCTGAAATTAAGCCTAGCTCATTAGGTGGTTCATGGGAAATCATTGCAAATAATTTTTCAAAGCCTGTTGATTTCTGAATTTCCACTTTAGATGAAAAAATGGATTTCTTCATTATCAGTCTCTCTGTTAACAAATGATAATCCAAACCACAGTGACCTTGCCTGCTGAACTGCTGTTCTGTTCATAGAACTACATGCATTAAATCCTTCTAAATTTATATCATGTGGCACCTTTTGATAAACCAAAATGTGGGGCTACCCAATCTCATCCAAAGAGAAGCTATAGCTGCATGCTTTCTCCAAGCTCTGAACTTTTATTCCAATGTGGCAAAATTTGTAAAATAAATGCAATCTGCCACTTCCAACCATCCCCAATGCTTCACGCCTTCCTGCAAGAATTTATTTACGACAGCTTAATCTTTACTCCCTCTTCTCAAGAAATGAGTTGAAAAATCAAAGGCTGCAGAGCAGGAAAAGCCTACTTAGAGCATGATTCCTAACCTGGTGTGGAAGCACGTTCAGAAGCCTATTATACCTCAATCCTGGGACAGCGCACACCTGATTTAAAAAGCAGTCACTTGTGAGGGTTCCCACCACCACCCACTAGAGGTGGGGAGGTATGGGGGGCACAAATGATCCAGACAGGGAACCGGTGGGCCTACCCTTGTGCTATTATCTGATTGCAAATGGAAGGAGGGAGTTAGCTGCACCCTGAAAGCAACAACAGCACATTACCCCCCGTAGCCAGCACAAGCACATATGTCTTAGAAGGAACTGCTGCTCAAAAGTGGACCGAGTGTCAGGACACCCCTGGGGAAGTACAGCTCTGAATCAGTGCTGAGGTGAACACAAACAATTTGCCCCTTCCAACGAAGTCTGCTTTGAATCACTAACTCGGTGTGGTCACCCTTGGTCCTGATGGTTGCAGAAAAAAATTCCTGCCCCCATACCTAACCCAGGCTGACCCTTCTTTGTCTGCAAAAAATTTCTGTAGCTGGCTATGGCTGCAGAGATTTTTTTATACAACCTAGACTGATCTGACAATTTCAGTTCTCTTGCAACCAAGTTCTGTCACTTTACTCACATAACCGTAGTCTGTGTGCAGTTCAGAGTAGGATACTACTGGGCACATAATGGAGTCAGGCCTTGTACATAAGCAATAGAGATTTGAATCTGTAGTATACATTGTGTGACAATATTCACAGGTCAGGAAGGGATTTAGCAGAGTGCAGTCAGGTAAAATAAGAGGAACTGAATTATTTCTTACCTTCATTTCTCTTACAAACCCAGGAAGCTGAGGATGAGCAGTTAACTTGGTTCAAGCTCCCCTTCGCAGTTAGCTGATCACAAGTGGTCGAAGTGGTATTTTTGGTGCGGCTTACCCTGAACAATCAAAACACACCATACTGGAGGTTAATCACATCCAATGGCATGGAAGCAAAGCCTCTGGTGCAAGAAAATATATTACTTCAGAAACAAAATGGTCAGGCTAACCCTTTCCCCCCTGTCCCTGCCTCCCAAACAAAGACTAAAAACTGATCATAGAATCATAGAAATTAAGGGCTGGAAAGGATCTCGAAAGATCATTGAGTTCACCCCCTTGCTCTGAGCAGGAATCAAATAAATGAGCAAATCAATTGCTCAAGGGAGCAATCCTAGATGCACAAAATCCATCCCATCTCAGAGGAAAGGCAGCAAAAGGGCACAGCAGCCCCCTTGGGTCTCCAGGGAACTGGCGGACCTGCTGCATCTTAAAAGGAAGACCTACAAAGGATGGAGGACTGGAACCACCACCAAGGAGGAATACTCTGCTCTGGTCCGGACCTGCAGAGAGCGAACCAAGAAAGCCAAGGCTGCAATGGAACTCCAGCTAGCTACAAATATCAA